ATGCAATGATAGATTCTCTGGAAGAGATGTTTTCAGTGTCAAAGTCTGACAATGTACAGTGTTACTAATTGAGTTACAGAGTCGTAGTACTGCTGCCTGTGTTTTTACTGGAGCTGACACAGACCTTACAGTCCTATCTTCCACAGCTTCTTGGAGACTCTCTAGGTGGTGGTAAAGAGGAATCTGTTCCTACCCCTTGTGAAATTATTAGCGTTTTGCATAGTTCAATTTAATATGTAGTCCAACGCAAATCAATAAACCAGCATTCCGTGCTGACATAATTATGTTCACAACAATTCCTTAGCTTTGCAGAATTGCTGTAATTGAGATGGGACCTTCAGTCTCCAGCCTTGGCTCTTTTGTCACAACATGAAGACAGGGGATTTTGGGGGGAGGGGGCTGGGGGGGGGAGCTAGGCAATCATCTTGCTTTCTGTGGCTGAAAGATTGCATGCCATCCTAATTGCTAGCAAAGGGATCTTTAATAAATATTTCATTTACATTCATTAGAATGTAATGCTGTTATTAATCTTTACTAGTAACTTCCATAGAAGAGGACAGTTGCCTGGGTGAATACTGAAACATGACCGGAATAAAGAATGCTTGACAAATATAGTTTTCAGTTGCAGAAAGTTCTGCACAATTTTTTTCTGCTGATATTTTCAGTGTATTGCACTTGATTTGTTAATATTATTAACAAATATATATATATATATCACATTGTCTGCTGAGGAATGACATACCTATGCCTGTGAGAACAATACTCTTTTTGTCACAATTTCCAAATGCTAATTACATTGGTAAACTGGAGGCTAAGTTCACCACTAGAATGTCACCAAGCACAATATAAGTCTGCAAAAGGCTCCAACATATGACAGATAGATGTGGCTGGGGATACAGGAATGGATCACTAAGCCTGTTACAGAAACACAGCCACCTCCAGGCCTGAAGAGCAGCCTCAGGTATCAGCGTTCAGATGTGAAACAGCTGCTTCCCTCTACTATAAAGGCAATGTGGGGTCTACAGCACAGAAGCCAGGTGTTATCCGCTCCTGCACAATTCGCTACCAGCAGCGCAAGTGTCCCATAATAGGCATCCTAGTCATGAGCTTATGCAGTGAACCTCTAGTTGTGTTTTATACGTTTTGTAAACTGTCTTCCTTGTGGGGGTTTATAACAATAAGAAGCCGTGAAAATGGCAATATTCTAAGCCTCCCCTGAAAAGAGATGACATTGCTGCCTGGGTGAGTTCTGCAGACATTGAGTCTCCTATACCACTATCCCAGCGTGTCAATAATGATGCAGCCTCTATGAGTGTGTTTTAAAAATATTCCTATTTCCATGGCTTCTTAAAGCTTAAAAAAGAGGAAAAAAAACATCTTTGTGAAATAGGATTTCAACGTCACAGCGGAGACCAATAACTATCATGTTCTTGATAGCCGCAGTGGGTTTGTGGAACACATTTCCAGCCATGGCCTGTGTTTATTTTAAATAATTCATATTTTTTACTTTGCATAAATGTTTTCTCCTTCTTTTCTATACAATGTCCCTAAAGTGAAGTAACTGCACAATACAAAGCAGGTCGAGTACTTGATGGGTTATTTACATTGCAGCAATGCATAAGCATCTGTGTGTGGGCGTGTGGCTGTGCGTGTTAAATGAGGGACAGTGGCGGGGGGGTGCAGAAGTATTGTTTAAAGCTCACGGTAAGCGAAGCTCTGCAGATAAGGAAGCTTCAACTGCAAACCCTGCATTAGAGAATCATCAATTTAAGTCATGGAAACTTCCAGGTCCAAATAACAAGCTGTGGAATATTTCAAAGCAAATGTAGTTGTGTACTCCCAATTATCTGTCAAGTGTGACAGATAGCAGCAATAATATATTCACATTAAGGCTTTGGATCAATTTTTAATCAAGCTAAGAATTATTGTAGAAGCAGGATAAAATGACCCATGAGAAGCTGTCTTAATTTTCCACCAGGAGCTGCCTTAATTCTCCACCAATCAAATTATAGCCTTTCAAAATAAGCTGTAATTAGGCCTGGAGAACATTCTGCTTATACATCCTGACTAATGGCCCATGTTCTATGCCATGTAAGGGTCAAGAAGTATTGACCTCATCTAGACATTTACTCAAATGATAAGGTGATTAGATATTTCACAAAGTCTGTTCCACATCAGAAGCTCACTGTGGCAATCTCCTTCGTGCTATTAGGGCAAGGTACACAGGGCACAGGGCTTTTTAACAGCAAAAACCAATTTGCAATGAAACTGTTCCTATTTGTAATAAACTGGGAGCCCAGCCTCATAACAAAAGCCCAGGGAGAGAAATACGTCACCAAAAAATATAGATTACCCAGTTTACAAGAATAAATGAGCGTTAAGGTAATTGTAGGCAACAAAAATTACATTTCCAATAAACATTCCAAGTGACCAACAAAGTTCTTGGTCATAAATAAGTATTATCTCCTTTCTCTATGCTCACTTCATACAAAGTGCAGCATTTATACAAGAAGAAAAGATTGTTGTTGCAGAGAAACACTTTTGTCGACTTAAATGCATATTTTAATGGCGTGTAAAAGAGGCAAACACAAAGTATTATGAGTGTCTTCAAAGATTGCAGACTGTGCATAATGCATAGGCTTCAAAAGCCTGCATAAGGCAGACATATCATTGTAACAAGATTTTCATACTGAATTAATGACTGAACAATGTTTGCAATACAGAGTCACTTTCTCATTGTGCCCCATTTTATATATCATGTCCTAATTGATTCAAACCGAGTAGATATAATAGGATCAATCAGCTTCCTTTATTAAGATGTATGATACAGAGGTTAAATAGTTTAGTTTAAGAGGCAGGTAATGAATAGTGTGTCTTTTAAGATGAAGTTAAACATTAAGTAGACCTAATCTGATATCGAAAACTCACAGTGCTCATTTTTGATTTCCCACAACAAAGTCTTTACTTCACATTCCTAAAGGCAGGGGTATGTACCACATCAATCCATACAAACAATAATTTGTCTTGGGTTAATCTCGACGTTGCAATCCAGCTCACATTTGCACAGTCTTTTATTTTTAAGATTTTTTATCCCCCTGTTGTAAATGTTTGGTGCTTGTCTTCTCAACAAGAAGGTAGGGCCTCATTTTGACTTGAAATGAAAAGTGGTTTTCTGCAACACTAGTGGAACACAGTAGAGTATTAGTAGTATAGTTATAGAGTGGCACACTGCTCATCCCTGTGCACTCTGATCAATAGTCCAGCTCACTGAGGTCCCCATGTCTGCCCAGTTAGTAGAAACTCTGCCAATTCCAAACACCATCACCCCACATCCTCCAGTGAAGGAGAGATAGTGGTAGAGGTGGCAGAATGTAATGCTATTTTAAGTCTGCCAGCAAACAAACAGTCATGGGAGATTCTGCAGGCATCTGAGTTTAGGTCAGGTGCTGGGATGTGTGTGGGAGGGAGAACTGTCACGGACGTCCAAAGGGACTAACCGTGGGGAGCAGGAGAGCAGAAAAAGACCCATATGCGTAGCGGCGAGACGGGAAAAAGGCCCGGGCTCATTAGTGCAAAGAGTTCAGGAACGCCGTATAGAAACCTATGCCCTCAGGGAGCGGACGTGGGGCGCCCTGGTGCCAGGCGGGTCTCAGGACATCCGAACATCAATGCTGAGCGAGGACAGAGTGCAAGACCCGGAAATATATAGCCCAAGGAAGAGAGGGGGACAGGAAGGACAGCAGACCGGAAACTACTGTAGGGACAGGACAGAGAATGAGCGCCCTCTGGCTGCAGAGGGCGTGACAAGAACAGCCTTCAGATGGAGATCTGGCTACCCTAAGGGAAGAGCCATGGAAGAGAAACCAGGGAGAAATAAAGCTGCAAAGCCACCAGACAGGAACACACCTGTCTATGTGCAACCCAAAATGATAAACCCGCTCAGCAGGGCAAAGGATGATTGTTTTAGACCTGCGTTGTACCTCTAGGTGTTGTGGGTATGTCTCTGGACTTGTAACTGGTGGGCTGTGGGTTTAGGTGCCTGCTACAGACATGTCTGTAGTGATGTTCTTTACTCCAGTTGCTCCAGTTCCCCCAGTTGTATAAACGGGAACCAGTATTGCCGGGCTTAGGCCCTATGATGGACTGGCGTCCCATCTGGGGGGGCGGGGGGGAGAGTCATGTGCTCTTAGTATCTCTTCCTGGTCCTCCATCCAGGTATGGTTTATAAGTCTGAAATTGCCACCACTTTGTGGGAAAACTTTAAAAAACAATCCAGTTAAGCTAATAATTAGTTAACATAATTGGGGCATTTGGAATGAAAACCCACAGACAGGCAGCCCTTCAGGATGAGGATTGAACACCCCTGTTCAAATGCACCTCTGTGGCATCCCATACTGCTACTAAAGTCTTGAATTTTATATTTCACACTGAAGCAGCAGTTCCAGTCTATTACCAATATCAATACTACAACTGTGTGCAGCAAACAATTCCTTCCCACAAACAAAATCAGAAAACAATTAATTTAGAGTAAAAAAAACACAACACACATGTGATATTTTTGTTGAATAACTGCAGTGAAAGTTATACTAATAATAAGCTTGGCAAATGACGGGCACTGTACAGTATGTAAACACACTGTATTCATACCATGAGATTGTTTGAGGGCAACTCTGTCTTTCACAGCCATGTTACATTGGTGCTACCCTGAGCTGCCTCTCAAGCATGCTGATTCTAAAACCCAACTATTTACTCTTCTGTTTGGAGGACAATTTATCCCTCAGATATTTAATTAACTTACAACATCCTCACTTCTCACTCCTACCTTTCAGCGTTCACAGAAGGACCCCATGTGACCTAAAACAAATATTCTCACTTGTGAAACTTGGAGAATATGCCATATTTATATGAAGGGGCTTTCTGACAGTAATTGGTGATGGAAGGGGGAGTTGCATCAAAGGCAATAAATTCCTGGATCATAAGGAGGTCCTCTTGTGACTTACCGGCTGTGTCTTTGGAGATGTCTGGTGAAGTGTTACTCCTGTGGATACCTGTAAACGAAAATCATAAATAGATAAATAAATAGCTCCTTCTAACTTTTCCCTTAAGCAAAGCATTAATATTCAACTTCTTCACTTTGTCACACCAGACATATTTAAATATGTTTAATCCAATGCTACTTGTTTTTAAAGGGCTAGGATTATGGAATACCGTTACTAGTAAGGGTTTTGCAAAAAAAAATTGATTTTCAGTAACCCTTCTCTAGAGCTGAAAATTGTAGTTATTTTTTAAAAAGCACATTCTAGATATTTATCTTTTCTGCCTTTTAACCCCTTTGATGCCGGCATGAGTAATTATTGTACTGAAGAATTATCTCCATCCACAATCTCACTCAATAAGTAAAAAGTGAATCTGAAAAACAGCATACTAATTTGACTCAAATGGATCATGCATCAATTTAGTCTAATTATTTGAGAAGCAGCCTGTTCTCTTTTTATGTTTTCTTTTATTGCACCTTATGCCTATTACCACTAATAAACGCAGACAAAATACAGGTCCAAAAAAGGACACAAAAATCATTCACAACATCAAGTCATTCTGAGTCAGAAGTGGAACTCACGTATTTTTTAGTCCTGTAAGCATAACTGTGTATGAGCTGATGCATACTGTAAATCCACCAGGCTATTTCAGACTAATTACTCATTACTCATTTCACTAATTACTCAAGAAGAGGATGCGTTCACTCAGGTGCTCACATACTGATTTGTTTTACAGTTAGCTCTTAACATTGCCTCAGGTACAATTTCCACACACCTACAAAAGTTATTTAAAATGGTGGCGTTTTTCAGAGTGGACAACACATTTTTATTCCTTTGATTACATTTCCATATGTTTGTGTGTATGTTTTCTACCTTTGAACATTTTGCACAATGCATTCGAACAGCAATGCATGACTCCAATTCCCAAAGGCTGGAATCCTAAAGATTTAGGGGTAGGTCTCTTAATGTTTTAACAACATATTCAAGCAATGAAAAGTGTTTAACCGGGCAAACAATTAGTAAAAGCAAAAGCCTAAGAAAAAGATTTAGGAACAGCTAAAATTAAAAATTAAAGTTACTTTTAGATGTCACCTGTGACCCTTAAGTACTGGAATTGTGCTCTTCCCCTGTTGTATAATATATAAATATATCTTTATATGCACAAATAACGAAATTACAAACTCTCCTGTATGAAAAACAACAAAGCAGCTTGGTTCTCCTTTGTGCAAAATTGAAAGGCAAGGTTAGTGTGCCAAAGAAAGGCTTGCCCTTGTGCAGGGGTCAGGTTTGAGGATCTGTGTGACCTTGTGAGTAGTTCAGGTGTAATTAATGGTTGGAGATCAAAGCAGGCAAAAGAGCCGACAAGATCCATACTAAAAAGCCTGCTGAGCAACTCACACAGAAAGATAACTTCCCAGGAAGTTCAGAAAAGCACTATGAGGTGGGGAATATGGTCGTAAAGAAAACAACCACTCCAAACATGTCCACTCTGGGTTACATTTAGGTTGAAAAAAATCCGGCAACGCCGGGTCAATTGGTCAAGGGAAAATGAAACAATCCCCTAATTCGCAACCCCCCGCCAAAAAAAAAAAAAGAAAGGGGAACCTTCAATAAAAAAAAAACAAGGGGTTTTTTTTTAATTTAGAAACTTTGACTCTTATTTATTATACACCCACACAATCTGGAATTGCCATATTGCTTCCTTACATCTCAGCTCACAGCAATGACCAATGAGGTCCCTTGGGGTGAACAATGAAGTGCAGACAGACAGCTCCAACCTGCCCACCCTTCAGCTCATTATTCCTCTGATACAGCACAAGCCACACAGCAACACACAGGAGGTCCAGTAACAGTTGCAGGAGGAGCACAAGCCTCATTGATAGTACTGTACGTCTGTAGGTGCCCGGTAAGCTTCATGGTCACTGTTCTATTGGGAGCTGAGACAGCCTTGGCTAACTGTTCCCAAGTTCAACCTGTTCTCTGCTGACTGGAATCCCAGCAACAACTCGCTAGTTACATGACCCACCGCGAACCCACAACTCGCCCTCTAGCAAGTTGATCAATTCTAAAACAATTTTAAAAGCAGAAAAGAGGTGCTTTAGGAGCCTCTATCAGGAATAAAAAGTCAGTGAACTTCAAGAATGTGCTTTATTCTCGCCCCTGTCTTTGTCTCCGTTTCTGAAAACACATTTGTTTTTCGTATTCGAGGTTAGATCTCTGAAGCCCTTCAGCCTCAGCTGAAGCAGATCTCTCTGCCTGTTCGTGTGGTGTCTTTCACTCCCCCGTGTTGGTGTCCATTTGCTTCTCTGATCTCATTTTGCAGTCTTCGTGAGTATTGTGCAATGCGGTGACTGTACAGAGATTCCAACAGTTGTGAAAGCAGCATGGCGTCATTTTCCTGTTTTCCATGGGCTGCATGACCACATGAAAGCCATGGTTTGATTTTCACAAGAACAGATGCCAGTCTGCCAGCATCTCAGGTGAGGCAACAGTGAGGCCCCCAGGGATTAGTTGACATCTAGCACCAAAAGAAAGCAATTAAAGAAACAAAACCTCTTAAATACAGAAGACTAATTTCAATATGTACCATTTAGAATGAGAAGAACAGAGGAATTTTGAGAAATATCTTTATATAATTAATATTTACAGACACATATTAGAATGATACACTCTGCCTTTAATTACAGCTCCTGGATTTGTATTCAGGTAGGGAAATTTGGAAAGGTAGGATCAAAGATGTCTTGTTAGTCTCCTTAAGAAATGTGAACTACTTGATCTCAATTGTTTTTTGCATTAAAAACATAACTTGATAATACAACATTATTTAACCCTTCAATGTAATCTCTCTTACATCAGTGTGCAATACTTTTTGAAAACAGCAGGTTTTCACAAGGCTTCCCTGTAGCTCAATGGATCAAAAAGATTAGGAAAAGGAATAGTTGAGAAATATTTTAAAATGTTCAATAAGAGACTAAGAAAAATATCCAATAAAACACTCATGCGTAACACAGATCACAAATTATCAGCCGTAATAAAAATACTATGTGAGATTAAACCCAAATAAAGCAATCTGATAGTAAATATTAAAACAGACTGTTTTAAAGCAGGTCAACTCAAGCTCAGTATATCCAGTGAAGAATCAGTAGTGTTTCTAATTTGGTATGAGCTTCTTTTTCATTAACACTGCCATGCATTCATATCTGAATGGGCCACTGACGGTCACTCCTATTGCTTTGATGTATAAGTCAGTCCGCTTCCTTTCAAATCACTATCATTTGTACATGTTAAGCCAGCCTGGCTATCAGTTTGACGTTTCAGAATGAAAAGAATTGATTCCTTTGCAATTGATTTGTTGTTGATTTGAGCATTACAAAAAAAGGGAATCTTGAGGTGTTTCTAGAGGTGGTTTGTTTCTTTTAATCAATGCTTTAGACTGCACCAAATTATTGTAGTCAATTCCTATAAACCTCTAAACTGCATTTATTGCTATGATCCTAGTAGAAGCCACAAGGCAGGGCTAGTGCTGTTGACTGGCAGTGAGAGGTTAGATTAATATCAGACAAATGGCTTCCCTCAGTGCTGAATAAAGCCATAGCCATAACATTGCTTTGAAGCAAGTCATGGGCACACAGACAGCTGAGGAAAGCCTTCAAGTGTTTCAAAGCACACTGCCAACACTCACAAGAAACCCAGGCTTACTTTCTATGCACATCAGTGCAGTATTTTTTTTTAATCCATGAGATATTTTTTTGTTAGACATTTTAATCAAGAATACCCTGAAGGTAACTGGTTCAGTGTTCAGACCTGGTTAAAATATTGATTATGACCACCACAAAAAAGCATTAGCAAACATGCAAAGATCTCTACTGTATTCTCACAGGGTGCGCTCACTACTATCTGTCTTGCATGTGCTGTTTTTTTCATATGCTTTTTAGAGACATTTTTAATATCTATATAAAAGTTTTTCAGAGGCATATTATTCATAATGTATTAGAAGGGCCAACCTGCCAGGCTAGGGTTGAAGTTAAGAACAGCAGTTGCAATGAATTTTTGGCATGAATACTAATTAGCCCTTCACACAAAACCGTAACTGCTGTTCTTAGCTTCACCTATGGCCTATAAGGGTGTGACTTTCAAATACATACTGGATATACAGTATGTCTGCATTGCTATGCTTAGATGATACAAAATACCAATTAATATTCATAGCCATAATTTACACATAGCAAATCAATCGAGATAAAATGCAAGAAAACATAATTTGCTTTCCACCTGGAGAAAATGTGTGATATATTTGAAATTCTATTCATAGGATAGAATTCCTCACCAATAGACCTGTAATGTAGAATTTGAAACTATTTTGCTTTTGCAATAGATGCTGCAAGAAGGACAATTTTATGGGCATGGTGGATAGGATTGTGCAGGTCATTTTTTTATTCCAAAGCAAAAATTCACCACTCCAATAACCCTGCTTCTGAACCGCAAACATAAATTATACATCTCAGAAAATACTGCTTATTATATATTAAACTTAACCTGTAACGAGTGAGGTAATGTAAGATTTCAGTTTTTCCTTCTAAAGGAACCTTAATGTATCATTGCATCTCTGTTATCTATAACACAGGAGCATCGATTTGTAAAACGTGTACAAGAATAAAAACTATGATAATAATAAAGTGCAACTATCTTATTTAAATCTTCAGCAGTCATTTGTAGAAATTTAACATGAGTAAAAAAGAATTCAAATTAGAAGTGAACAGAAGGTTTTTTTTAAAAAACTTTGTCAAATTAATTTTTTGCAGCACAAAAGTTGTGTATCTAAGCAGTACTACTCAGGCAAGCAATTTCCTTTATGTCATTTTGACTTGTTGACCTTTGTCCATATGAAACCCACCGGAATTGACTGTAAAACAAAAGGATTTCCATAAATGCCTTTTCTTGTGTGAGTTTCCAAACTTGGAATTCACAATGTAAATATTACACTGACAATCCCACATTTTAAGCAAGCTGTTTTTAATTTGGACTGAATTTGGCGTGAGTGTGCCTTCATTTTCAATTTTCCAAGTAACTTCCAAGATTTCATCAAAGTCTCAGGCCTGTAAAATGGAGGTAAGTGAATTCATACCAAAAAAAGGCCATATTCCATCCAACCTTCTCTCATTGCTTTGTTACATTGCCTGTAACAAAATATGTTTTGAAATAGGATAGTTTTGCTTGAATTTCCTCCCTTGTCCTAAGGTACATAGCAAAGGCCGGCCAGACTCGGGTACTGTAGTTTCTTTTTTTTAGGTTGTTTTAGTTTTTTCCACCCAGACAACACAAAGCCAATATCCTGGTCTGCTAATGATAGACTTAGCATATACATATACTATGCATGTGCTATGTATTAAAATTGGGTTGAAAATAATTACTTTGTTCTCTAAATGACCTTGCTACTACAACATAGATCAGCCACAGGGAAGGCTGCTATTTGGAGACCAAATATGATTTAGTTTTCCTTACTGGACCATGAGGGCTGTGAAATCCATATGGATCTCAGCTAATCTGACATGGAAAACTGGGAAACTCCAATCAGGGGGCACACATTGTATAACATGTAACATGCATTAGTTGAGTTACAGTAATTGTATGATGTCTTTAGCGAATGCTTCAAAGGTTAAGGAAAGAAGTTCAAGTTTAGTACCCTCTTACTTAAAAATCAGAAAATTAGTCTTTTGATTCAAAATCTCAGACTTTGGAGATGCACGATCCATCCCCACTATTGTGTTCAACATAATTGTCATGCTCATGAGATGGCCACATAACAAAGGGAATCTACACATCCTACTCTGTGCCTAAACTGTGATAAAGTCAAGGAATATCATTGAGACAGGCTTCAGTTATCATGTACAGTACAGGTGACGTGTTTCTTCAGATTTCTTGCCTCTTTTGGAATCAACAGAATGTTCCCTGCACTAGTGGTACATATTTTCAGTGCAAGGTCATGGTATGGGTGTTTCAACAAAACACGCAGCTTATACTACATGCATATTTAAAAACAGAGAGGAAAAACAACTTTAAGGGAAACAAAACTGACATGTTTCAAAATATGCATGTTGCTATTCTATGATAAACCCACAATGGCAGATATGCCTTTTAAAATATAGACAGCACTGGGATGTGGTCTAAATAGTTTGGTAGCGGTTTCCATGGGCATGAAAGACAAAACCTACCAGTGTTTATACTGCATTTTGTGTCAACTACAGTAAAACCACTCAGAATGGAACTGAGATAAACAAAACACTCACTGTACCAAGTCTCACATTTTCACTATGTTATGTTATTCATCGAGAGCTCCTTGACACGTGATGCTTAATGGGCCAGTCTTTCAACTGTATGTGGTGCGTGTTTCGGATGTCGCTGTTTAGCTGAATAGGCTGTCATTGTCATACAGTTTGCATTGTACCGTCTAAAATAATGTTAAAATGTATTTAAGAGGTAAAAATAGTTTGTATAATTACTGATATATTTTAGACTAAATGCGTAATTATTTGTTGATTCATGTATGAATGTTTTTAACGGCATTCATAGATCCTATTCAGCACCTACAGACTATAAAATAGAAGTCTTATCGGTACTTTGCCATGACATAAACTGAGAATTCACAACGTGACATAATGATGCTCTAAAGCGTTTTACGAATCTACCGTTAAGTGCTTTGGTACTAAAATTGTTCTTCAAATGTTCTTAAAATTTAATAGCTGTCAAATGACGTTTTATTGAACCATCTTCAGCAGGTGTGCTACCTAAAGTACAGTAGCTGAGCAGCGAATCGCCTGGAAGGGAGCATGCTGTTTTGTTGACCCAGCTACCTTGTTTTGTAATCAAATCTTGAGACACTGACGGTACCAATGTCTGAAATACTGCAACTGAAAACAACAAAAGAAAACTTTCACATTTCCAGTTTTCAAAAAGCTCATGTGCTGTTTGCATAATTTAATAGAGCGTTGTTTTTACAAGGTTATACTTTTAATGTCAATGGTCTTAAAAGACGTACTGTAGCTCGGCCGTTAGAAGTGCGTTTTTCTGAAGTTTCTAGAATGCATTTTATTTAACACTATGAAATTCATGACAATTACATCTGACCACTTTCAGGTAAAGTACGTAATACGATAATGGTACTGAAGTAATACTCATGAACTGATAATCATTATTTAGCATGTATTACGTGGGGACACAACTTACAAATTAATAATTTCCTTTTACAGGGAGTTTAATATTAGGATTTGTATACACGGTAAGAGCTATCGTTAGGTGTTTTGTTATTCTCGGCATGAACATTTTGAGGGACCTCTTTATGTTTGCTTTATTATTCTGTCAGAAGAAATGTATTACTTGTGTGTGAACAGCAGTATAACGCACATATTTGGCTTATTTCTCTTCTTTCATACCGATTCTGAATATGTGCCGCACATATGGTCTGCAGCGAACACATATCATGATTAATTTTGTTCTTCTTCAAAAAACGTATTCCTACTCAACTGGTACTCTAAACATGAATATTCTTTTGAGAGGTGGGATAAGAAAGTACTGTACTGTAAATGCCGTCTAAATGACACATAGATAATATAAGCTTGATTGCATGCTTAAAATCATTTAGAATTCGAGGAACAACAAATTGTGAAATATAAAGAAATGCAACCACTACTGCTGTCGATGTTTGTACCAAAACTATTGATAAGTTTCATTCAGATGAATCAAAGGACTGCTGCGGCTTTTTCTCCTTATCTACCATTAAACGGTGCTGAAAAGCATTACTTTGCAATCTTTCGGAGCCTTAAATCACAATCTGGTGTCTTACAAAATAACCACCTGCAAAGTGAAAGGTGGATATTCAGAAAAATCCTGTACTTTTGCGGCGCTCCGTATTCTTCGATTTCTGCCGAATACCTCGGAGAGATGCGTCTCCCTCTCCTAGGCTCTCACAATCAGGGTGATACTGCCCCCCGGTGGTCACTTGTCAGAACATGCTAGCACAACACAATCAGAGCTGGTTATCGGGCAGAAAGCAGTCCCGAGAGATGGAGACAAAAATCTGTCTGGTGCGGCAATAGCGCTTTAGCGAACTATCGACCTACTGTATAAAAATCACCACATAAGGTTGCACAAACAACATTCAGTCACAATACCTTGTTCTGCGTCTTTCAAAATCGTTGTATGAAAGCACGTGTTTTGTTTTGGGTTTTTTTTGCAGGGTGTGGTGCGCACGCAAACGTCTGTTGTATTTGAAGAAAGCCTTCTCGATCACATGGAGCCGTTAGTGTTCATATATTATACTCCGTGCTCTTACCCTTCCTTTAATAAGGAAACTTCTACCGCAGTTTCCTTATTAAAGGAAACGCAGAGCACGCTACGGATCTGATAAGCAACGCAAGCTTAATTATGTGAATTAAATCATGTAAAGTGACTTAAATCCAATATCAGTTTGCTTGAATATCAGATTAAATGTATCAAAAGACAATGCTGGCATTCTCAGACCGCATGATGCTATCTTCATGCTTTTTCTTTATATGCAAAAAATAATAATAATTCGTGCTGTCCAAACACGTCGGGGCATGTTTGTTTTTATATTTGCTAAACGCATGTGAAGTCTCAGATTAATAAAGCGTGTCGTGACACGATTCCTTAAAAATAAAATATGAACACGATGAAACTTTCTTCACAGTGTGAAAGGCTAATTTGCTGCTAATTGTTCAACAACTGTTGAAATGTGCTGGTTACAGGGACACCTCAGCCTGTAGGTACTGTAGGCACCAACAGATGCCTCAGGTATTTCTGAATCTAACGTATTTTGGTTTGTTCCTGATGTATTGTGGATAATCTGGTAAATTTTTAGGAATGTCTACACCAAAGACCACCAGAACAGACACATTGGATGGTAGCTGCAATGTTCAAAAATCTATCCAAAGTTTTTTTTTCAATCTACCAACCTATTACTCATCTGGGTTCTTTCATCACAGCAGAATAAAACCATTCTCAGCCTCAACTCCACTGAGTAATACAGGAATACGACTTGGCCTCAACACTGACCTCAAGCCAAAAAAATAACATTCCAAATAAGTGCATGAACCACGTCTGGTAGCAAGTTCATGATAAATAGCATTCTTTATTGCTGTTGATGTCAATAGGTTAAAATTGTAAGCTTCTCGGTTTCACAGAGGCCCTAAAATTAGGCTCACTACCCTTATATCTTTATTCATGCAAGATAGCCAATTACTAGGTTCTTGGATTATTTGTGATACAGACCAAAAGGTTCAAATCAAGCTCAAAGATATGTTTAAAGTTAATACAAACAAAACGTTTTACTGTTGAAAGTGGTTTTTCAAGCTGATTTCAATTCTGTCAGCTACAGCTCAGCCTAATTAAAATATCTGCAGTTACATGTACAAAAACATGCCCCAGCAAAGTGGCCTAGACTTTGTGATACATAGCAGTAGCTATCTATCACCTTTACTCCTTCATTCTCATCCACTGGTGTGTGACTGGTGATCTACAAATTCGGTGGTAGGCTGCTATAGGTCTCTGGAAATAATCATCACTTTTGAGCAAAACAAATTATCTAGAAAACTGAAAAAACTAAGTGGAACCCCCATGAAAAGAGAAAGCAATCACCAATGTTTATTCCTTTCACCACTGCATGATAGAAATTTTATTCTGCAATTATCCTTTAAGGGGATACTAGCTATTTTCTCAGAATGTTGGGGGTTTCATTTACTGATTAGAATTAATCACTAACTGCTAACCACCAAAAGAAAACCTTGCATTTTTTACAAAGAATAACATTTTTAGCTAATGTTATTCCTTGTAAAAGAGCTGGGCCTTGTAAAAGAGATATTCTAAAAGTCATGGATGGAAAGAAGTTAGGTATTTACCACGGTTTTGTGTTTGGGGATATTTCTGGTGGTTTAATTGAAAGCTTTTTGTGTTACATTCACACATTAGCTTGTTAGTTTAGTACAGGAATGAAAGCATGAGGTACTCTGTAATAGGTACTCTATTATATAACTTTGATCATGTATAGTTGTAGTATGAGTTTCCGTTCCAGATTAAAAGTACATTAAAGTCATGTTTGCCCATGTATTTTCCTTGTTCAAGGTTGCAATATAGACATTCCTCCCAAAAAACTGATTTAGTAACAACCCACCTATCCCGCTATTATAGGAACTATACTGTACATCTCACATACAAGCAAGCCAAACTAAATTAGTTTTAACCCTGATCGTTTATTTTGTTTCCTTCAATCACCTGTTGTCAAGAAAATTAGCACAAACAGATACATTAGGAAAACAGGAAAACTAGTATTCTATAGTCATTCTTTCTCTGGCAACTTTAACGTTCCTAAATATAAAATGTATTAAAGCACAGAAAGGCTTTGCTTCAGTGTGCAGTCAGTCTCATGAAACAGTGACAACAACACTATTCTGAAACTGAGCACTCCAGCAAACCAGCCAGTGGCACGCTGAGTGAAAAGAAAACTAAACGGGGCATTTTACTGTAGTATAGCTCTTACAGCAGGGTCAAAACATTCCAACCTGAAATCTTTGCAATAGCCTAAATATCCAGACAGTAAGGTAAAGTGAGTGGCAACTGCCTCATGTAAATGCTTACAGTTGCACAGTGTAATCAAATATGGAATGGTTCACTTCTAAATTCTAAATTAGAACAAGAGGCAGAAGAACAAATGTCTGTGGTGAGCGAACTGCATAAGACAATACAGATGTTAGTGACTCATGCAACTGTTACTACTAAAGCAGAGGGAGGTGATTTTTTTCTGCACTGTATATAAAAGCATAAGACCAAAGATGCTTGTAGTCTGTTTTGTTCCTTGAATTCATTCCACACATGTTTGCAATAAAGGTTTTCTGACTAAAACAAAAGCCATAAAATGCAGCTCTGGACTGGAACATCTCCACCCCAGCTCTTGTGAAAGGCAGGGTCATAAATAATTTCTCCTGACCAGATTCGTGTTGAGCGCGGACCACAGCAGGTGTAAAACTCAAACTGTTCTCATTAGAAGAGTCATGGCCGAGGCAGTTTTGGAGACCAGCCTCTGACAGAAGAACACAGGAGTGCTCTGCAGGCAGGAAATGTCTTGTAGGAGATGTCTGTCAGGTAGAAACACAACTGAAAAGTACTTCAGCATCTTATTACAACCTCTTCACCCAGAGGTCACAACATTACTAGAGTGCTAATTATTCTAAAAATGAAAGAAACACAGAAACTGTTCTTGTGATCTACAAAATCAACCAGTTAAATCTAATTTTATTTCATAAAGCCTATTTTTTACTTCTTTAGGATGTCTCATGTTGTAACAGGGTACCGTATGTTAAAAATACGGTGTCATTTTTTCAATTGACAACTTCTGAATTACTTACTTTTACACATTCATCCTTTAAAGCAAGTATTTTACATGTAATACTTAATAAAATAGGATAGTGATTTTTCATTATCTTGGTGAGATGGGAGGGTTGTTAACACTAAGAGACTTGCTTCTACTGACCATAGTTCTGTTGGGCTTTTACCACAACACAACTGAGCTTGGCATGACCAGAATTTTAATCCGCATTCAGAGTGACAGTTGGTACAAAACCATTTTTACAGACAGAGGTTATGATGAACCCATGTAAGCAGGCTTGGAAATGTAGGTCATTCCACTAATGGAACCTAGCTCTAGTAGAGAGTTAAGAAAACACACCTCTTACCATTGGCAATTGCCCCACACATTTTCAGTCTCTTTTTAGTCTCTTCCTTCACTGATACACAAAAGATGCTTGTGTAATTTCCCAACTCTACAGTACAAAACAAAATCATCAGGTTTACTTATTAATACTATATGATTATATTAATAATTTAGCCATGGAATACTCTTGGACAACTCCAAAATACCTATCATGTGCAGCAGATTGACTTTACAATTTTGCACTTTTTAGGGATAGTGTTTTCTATGCAATTTACTTTATCCTTTATATGATCAATAAAATACTGATCAGCAGGGGACAATGACCAAGCAATGTGAGGAAAACGTGTTTCGCATGAAAATCCGATTACAACCTGAGTAAAGAAATGAACATACACCGTGTCTTTATTTTGTTTCTTTTTTTATCAAAAAAGCAATGAAAATATATTCAATTTGCCTGAAACTCGGAAACTGTAATTATTATCTTCCAGTAGACAAAGTGGAATGTTTACTTGAACCCAACAGAAGGTAATCATTTGGAAAAACTTTGGGAAAGATATTAAAAGGAAGATGGGTTTGATAAGGTCAGATATCACTACTTCTAGGCATGGCTTTTAGAAAAATATGTAGGGTGATATTCCCATGAATCTATGTCTGTTTCAGAGCTGCACAAAGCTTCCTGACGAGTAAAGTCCAGGGTGAGAGGCATTATCACCAGAGAAAAATCTCATTAGTAAGTGCCATGCCAATAAACAGGATGGAGAATAAACTATTCAAATGTGTGAATATAATGTGTGCGGCTGTCCATAAGAAATAAATCTGCGTGACACAGATTCAGCACACCGAAGAAAGCTTCAGACAGAGCTTTGAAATAAAAATAAACAGAAACTAAGCCATTTGTGAGAGAAAGAAAGAACAAAAATAGCAGGCTAAAGATGTATTGAAGAAGAGTAGATTCAGTTAGTGTATAAGAACAGCATCACAAAACCAAAACCCTTTCTTAAAAGACTAATAATTATGTGGAGAAATTTAAATTTAAATCGGGTTTTCCAAATTTAAAAATTGGTCCAGTGGCATTTATGTGCCTTACAAAATCGTCTCAGAATTTTAATACAAATGAGATCAATGAGCTCAAAAGTCATTTTGTGATTTTATTTCTTTGTAGTGATAAAATTAAGTATTGCTTGTAGCTATCGGTGCAATAGCAACTGCTTTCCCTGAAATTGTCCATTCTTCTTAAATTTTAATTTTATTGGATCCACAGATATTCTGCCACGGGTTTGAGGCCTCAATCTGGATCTTCACCACATATTCCTTTCTGCCGCTACGAAAATTAGAATTTAAAACAATAACCTTTCACTATGACAGTCACAAGTTGCATACATCTCGCACCTCAATTTAAGCTGATATGTACAACATTTCTGTATTAATTTGCTTTTCTATGAACTTCTCAGGGGAAATTTTGTTTTTGTGCTCTGTGAACATGACCATTTATTTTACTTAAATGGCACACTAATTTACCCAGTTTGTAATTAAAATTGTATAGATGACAG